CCATTCATCATTTGGTTTCAAAATAATGTATTTGCTCTTCAATCAAATAACTAAGCACAAGTTTCTTCCCTTTTGCTCCCTTAAAAGCAAGTGGAGGGGCTAAGGAGACCAAGGGCAGGAATTAGGGATGGAAGAGGCTGGCCACCTGCATCCCTTTGGTCCCAGCCCAAAGCTGCCGCCCTCCCAAATCCATCAGCCTTATGATGCCCTCATATCCCACCTCCAGATTTTTGCTGAGATTCCCCCTGGGAAGGGAGAGCCCTGTCTATAGCGGAAGAAACCTTCCTGGGCCCAAATCCAGCCACATCACAAGACTGGATGGCCCAGCCTCGAGACAAGTCAGTGGCTTCCAAGGCCAGTGGGAACAGCTTCGCCCAGCTCATGTTCTGCTGTGGTTGTCGGGCCAAACAGATGGCCCAGGGTAAACAGGGGGTGGTGCTGATGGGGTGTGGGGGTGGCTTTGAGTGGACTCAGCCTCCCTCTGGATCCTAGGGAAAGAGGGGGTAAGGTGAAGACAGTGCCTGAGGAAGGGGCCTTCCAGACGTGCTGGAGATGACTTTTCAGCAATGGAAGAGAAAAGGGAGGAGGCTCCAGCTTGATCGGGGTTAGGAGCTCACAGCCTTCCTCCCTCCAAGCCACGTGGCAGACACCTGAGGCAATTTGGGGTCTCAGGAGAACACACCAATCCTGTTAACACATAGAGACACTTGTGAACTCAACATATTCTGTCTCCTCCTCAATCCTTGGGGTGGGCTCCAGAGGCAGAGGAGAGACCTGGAGGCACGTTGAGCTCTAACCTGAGATCCTGGCCTCGCTCCACAGCGAGCAGCCTCCTGCTTACCCCTCTCCAGCCAAGCACTGGGGTGACGGCCAAGGGAGAGAGATGGGCCAAGGTGTGGGTGGGCTGAAGGAACCCGAGAAGGACAGGAGCTCCAGTGGCCTGATCTCGGACCCTGTTAAGGCTCCCTTCCAGCAGGAGAGCTAGGAACCCAATTTCCACAGCCCTCTCTCCCTCCCTCAGGCAGAGCTGCCTCCTGCATATGGTGCTCTGGCTGCCCTACCTATGCAGCTCCTGCCCTGGGCCCCTCTGTTACAGCTCACCTGACTTGGGAGGGATGTGAGAAAAGGAATCTCTCCACTATCTCCCCGGAACACTTTGATATACAATTTCTTCAAACCCAGAGTCTTCCAGCACAGTCAGCCATAGAGTCCCCCCATGTTCCCTAATAGTCCTATTTTCATTTCTCTAACCAAAGAACGGGCCCATTCTTGCCTGTGGAATGGCGTGTGGGGACATTTTTGAGGAAGCAAAGTGTTGGGCAGGCCAGGCGCAGTGGTCCACACCTGTAATCTTAGCACTCTGGGGGTATGACGCAGGTGGATTCCTTGAGCTCACGAGTTCGAGACCAGCCTGAGCAAAATTGGAGACCCCCCATCTCTACTAAAAATAGAAAAACTGAGATGAGGATCACTTGAGCCCAATTGGAGGTTGCTGTGAGCTGTGACGCCACAGCACTCTACCCAGCGCAACAGCTTGAGACTCTGTCTCAAAAAAAAAAAAATGTTGGGCAAATAACTTTATTCTGAGCTTGGTTATCTCATCACACACTGGGCATTACAGTACCTACTCCATAGGGCTATTCTGAGGATTAAATGAGATAGCGTGTCAAAGCCCAGAATCACAGGAGCTCAATTTAGAAGTGATCCTCTTGCCTCCCACCTCCTGAAGTGCTGGGATTATAGGCATGAGAGAGCACCTGGTCCTGCTTGTGGCTCTCTTAAGGCTTTCACGGAGCTTAGTTGTTAATAACCGTACCAGAGAAAGGGTATGGCTTTGTCCCTTCATGATGTGTCACCTCAGCTGAGGTATTTCCTCTCTTTGAGCTCTAAGTGTTCTCATCTATAAAATAAAAATGTTAAAACATTTTTTTAATTTAAAAAGGGCATGTTGATATCTACTCTTCACAGTTGTTATAAGAAACAGGTATAACATACACAAAGTGCTTAATGTAGTGCCTGGGATAAAGAAAATGCTCAAGTATAGTAATAGTTGCAATTATTACTATTTTACTATTATTAATGCAATTCTACAGGCTGTGTAGTTTTGTGGTTAAGCACGTAGACTCTGCAGCCAAGTTGCCTACATTTAAATTCCAATTCATCACTGAAGCTGTGTGACTTTGAGCAAGTTACTTAACCTCTCTGTTCCTATGGTTCATTCACTGTATCATAATTGTACCTACCTCCTGAAATTGATGTGATACTTAAGTTATTCTATGTGCTGTACTTTTGAAGAGTGAGTGCCTGGCAAATAGTAAACGCTACAAACAGTACGCTGTCATTGTCATTAATAGTAATATTATTATCAGTCTTATTACAATTATTAACAACTGGGCTCTGGGAGAGCCTTATGAAATCCACAGTCAGGGTCTGCTTGCAGTGGCTACTACTGTAATCCCAGCACTTTGGGGGACCTTAGGTGGGAGGATGGTTTGAGGCTAGGAGTCCACGACTGGTCTGAGATACATAAAGAGACCCTCTACAAAAAGTAGAAAAATCAGCCAGGCGTGATGGCATTACCTCTAGTCCCAGATACGCAGGAACTTGAGGTGGGAGGATTGCTTGAGCCCTTGAGCCCTGGAATTCAAAGCTGCAGTGAGCTCCATGGCCCCACTGCACTCCAGCCTGGGTGACAGAGCAGACTCTGTATGTTTAAAAAAAAAAAAAAATTAAAAATAAATAAATAAATATATATATATGGGGGGGGCACAATCCAACAAATCCACACCCTACTAGTGGTTTGGTCCCTCGGAAGCTTTGGGAAGTCACCTCCCCTCTCTGACCCTGCTTTTTATCTATCTACAAAGTGTAAATTACAATGGTACCCATAATGGTACTTCTGGGTTGTTAGGCTGCATTAATGAGCGACCGCCTGTGGAAAGCTTCTAGCTTCTAGTTAATTACGCCCTGGGTCGGGTGCTCTGCCTAAATCCAGCTCCCTACCCCACCCAGCCGCGCCGGAGAGCTCTCGGATTCCCTCCTCATGGGCTCCAGGTGGGGGTGGGGACTGTCCCGCGCCCGCTGCCAGGGCCTATTTCTGGGGGCCGAGCGATCCCGAGGCCTTGCCAAGCTTCTCCGGGGATCAGGTTTCTGCTGACGCTGTGCCAGGCACGTCTGCTTCCAGGAACCGGCAGCCGCATTTAGCCGCGGGCCGCACATGAAAGGGCTGCAGTCGGAAACGTGACGTTGTGTCAACAGGCGAGGCAGGTCAGCGCTGGGTGAGACCATCCCGGCAGGCCGGCGGATCACGCCCTGTCTGAAGGCGGCCAGATCCCAAGCCTCCGCTCCCCTGCCTCCTGCCACCTCTCCTTGGGCCCAGCGCCAGTGCTTCACCCCCTCAGACTCACACACACACACCTTTTTAAACAGAGGTCCTCTTTGTCCCCAGTGGTCATCAAGCTGGGGTGCAAGCCCCTCCCCCGCACCTCCCTCGGAGAGCACTTGGATCCTGCAGAAACTGGGCTAGAAGCAAGGTCAAGGGCAAACTGGAAGCAGAAAAAGAGGCAGAGGGACAGCTGCAACTCTGAGGGGTGTTTGCCAGGGGCAGGCTCCTGGAGGGGGATTCTGGGTTGACTGCCTGTAGAACCCTCTAATCTTTTTTTAGTTTAGGTTGCTACCACTTCCTTCTGTTCCCGCAGCTACTCCTTGAGTCACTGCCTAGGAAAGAGAGAAGGCCACGCGCAAAGAGTTTGGCCTTGATTTCAACCCTGGGCTCCATCACCAGGATAAATTTGACTCGTTTAAGTTTTTACCAAAAAAGTCTAGCTAGAAAGGTCTGGCAACTCATGGAGGAATCCAGGGGGTTAGCAGGCAGGGGATCTGGAGGCTCAGGCCTTAAGAAGCTGGGGAAAAGAGTGACTTAAGGAATTTGCCATCTGCCTGCTATAGGATTTGTGGGAAGGGCTCAGAATCCTTATTTTATGTAGTCACAAAAAGGCGTGGAGAGGGAGGTGACAGACCACCAGCTAGCACATGTGCCTTTTAGATGGTGCCTTCCATATGCACCTGGCACAGGAGAAAATCCTCATTCTTACCTTTTGGCCCCTCAAGAGACAGGAAAGGTGACATTTGAAGCCAACAGTCCTAATGGCTAGGTGGTGCCTCTGCCTGGCTGAGAAATCGCTGGGGGCAGCTTCCCTCTGCTTTCCAGAGGGTTATGAAGACTCAGATGCTTTGGGAGCTGGAGCGTGTGGAGACAGGCATTGGCCATTGGGAAGCATTAGGACACCTCTGAGAAAGCATCCCACAGGAACACTGCCAACCCAGGTGAAGGGGAGAGGCAAGCATACTCCACCAGGTCATTTCCCACTTCTTTTACCATGGAATGTTCTTTCTTTTTTTAAATAAGAGCACTTGTCTAAGGAATACTAATATTCATTCACGCACAAACACACCAGGGAGGAAGTTCAGGAAGGATGTAGAAAATAATTATGGAATGTTGCCTCCAGCAGCAATAAGACAGGATATGGCAAATTCATTAGACTTTGCTAGATTTGAAAAAGTTAAGACTGCCTTGGCAAAGAGGTGCTATCTCCAACATCCATTCTCATTGTTTAATAATCTATGACTTCTCTTTCCAATGTGCCTGCCTCTCCAGCAAGCTTCCCCAACATTCCAGCCCATGACTTCATACCTCAGCTTTCTGTCAAGTTCTAAGGACCATGACTAAAACAGACTGGGGTGGGGGGAAGTATTTTTTGTTTAACTCTGGGGAAGGAGGCGTGGGATGACTGTGAACCCCTGACAAGGGTTAGCTATAAAAAAATTTTTTTAAACCAATATTTACTTACTAAGTTGACTAAGCTTATGCTGAGTGAAGACAAAGCACATGAAAAGCTGAATGAAATCACACCAAGTTTAACTAGCTGTTGCCTTCAGCCAAAAGAGGACAGATAGCCGTATCATACAATCAAGCTATTTAAAAAATTCAGGAGACCATCTTTCTCTTCCACAGGAAAAGGATCATTTTATTAAGTATTTTAAAACAACTACTTAACATTTACTCATAGATAAAAATATTTACAATTTCACACCTTCAAGAAGGCTCCAAAATATAAACACTGTACCTCTCCCTAGAGAAAAAAATTATTCTTCTCTTCAAAAACAGGAATACATTCATTTTTCTCACTTTGTAGATCAAGTAATTATACAAATAAACATCTGAAACATTTTCCTTTTTAATATATTCATATAATATATATTTATAACAGCTTTACCAATAAAGGCAATGAACTTTATACCAAAATAAAAACAAGAAAAGAAAAAGTTAAAACACGATCGGCAATCAAGCATAGTGCATTTTGAAAAGCTGGTGCGAGGCTAGCTGGACAAGTCAGGAAAACAAGTACTCTGGACTGAAAATAAAATTCCTTTGAAGGAGACAGAATCCTTTTTAGCAATAAGGACACTCCATATGCCACTGGGCAAGAGGAATTAGCCTACAGCAAGGATCTTGCAGTGCCATGCCTTAGTTAGGCCTTTGAGAAGCTAAGCTTGGTTAAAAGGAATTTTAGCATAGAATTGAAAGCCAAGTCTACCTCTGCTTGAGGACAGCAGTTTGTTACTCAGCTTTGTGCACTTTGGGGCGCTCAGGGTGGCTGCATCTCTCAGACCCTGGTTTGGTTCCCTGGACAGCAAGTACTAATGGTGAGACCCAGAAACAGGTGCCAGAGGCCTGGGGAACTCCTCCCTCTCTCCCTGGCAGCTCAGCTTGTACAAGGGGGCCGTTTTCAGTTCCTTAGTAAGCTAATCACTATGAAAGCCTGAGTAGGGAACTACATTCTCTTTATTCATCTGAGGCAGGGGTGGGGGGCAGACCTGCGGAAATCTCCCCAAACCACTACCGTGCTATGCCAGTGTGTGCTACCTCACCACGCTAGCAGAAAGCTCAGTCTGACTGCTCTCTCCCCGTCGTCTGGTGAGTCACATCGACAATAAAGGGAAAAGGGTGGGGTGCTAACAGCTGGCTGGGAGCTGTGCTCTGGAAAGCCCTCTTTTGAAAGCACCTTTTGCTCAAAGCCACAGACCCAGCTCCCAAACTGAAGAGTGACTCACAGACCAAGACTTTGAAGCTTTTGAAAACCTAGCTGGTTTGTATCAAAGGGGGCTATTCTCTGGGTGGGGAAAGGCCCAGAAGTCTGCTACAATTCACCCCCACCCCCACCCCGAGGCTTCTGATATCAAGCAATCCTTCGTGACTTCCCTATGCTGAAAGGAGCTTTAATGTCCTATACCAACACACAGGCACAAATGTGCATGCGTGCACGCACACACACACAGACACACACACACAGTGAACCTTCTCTCCATGCCTCAGATTATTTCAGAATACACAATGGAACAATCTCGCTCCACTCACACAAACATTTTTTTGCTGTTCTTTTTGGAAGTAGGGAGGAAGGAAAGCAAAGCTGCAGGATCCCCTACAAGGTTTAGTCTTTGGTTTCTAAATTTAAAGGGGGGATCTGCTTCAGAGCCTGGAGCAGGACAGAAGAGTCAAGGGATGAGTGGGCTGGCAAGGGAGAAGGGAGTCTCTGGGGCATGAGCAAGGGAGCTGAGATCTTGTCCGGGTTCATGAAGCTAGTGAGGGCTGCGGCGGAGGCATTGAGGCTTGGGTAGAGCACTGGCACCGAGGTGGGATACCAGCACTTCTCCAGCATGGGCAAGTAGGCAGTCGCTGATGGTGGGATGAGATAGAAGGGCAGGCAAAAAGGAGGCTGGTGTGGGCTCAGGAATGGGGAACTGATCAGGTCACTGCTAGGGAAATGGCCTTCATCATCTGAGAGCTGCATTCGACTCTTTTTTGTGGGGGGTTCTTCAGACTCTTGCTTAATTGTGCCAACCCGTTCTCCCATGGTGAACTTTCGTCCATGATCGCTTTTGAAGTATGGCTGCTCGCTGCGCAAGTCACCCTTCTCAGATTCTCCCCCATAGCCACTGTCTGTGTCCGTGTCGCTGCCGCTCTGCTCCCCGCTCGAGTGAGCAAAAGTCCGCTGGATGACAGGAACACAGTTTTTCCCAGGGCCTTCTGAGCCTTTGACCAGGGAACTGGGTTTCTCCTTGAAGTCCATCACTTTGGGAGCTGGGTCTGATGGCTTCCTGGAGGTACCACCCTGCAGCAGTTCTGAGACCACACGGTGGAGGTGGGTGATGAGCTGAGAAGACTTCAGGTCCCGAGTGTTCTCATGTTTGGCCAGGTACTGAAGCACCTCCCGGGCACATGTCTGGAAACCTGAGCAGAACATCTCCTGACCTGCTTCGACATTTCTCCCTGACAGCTCACCTGGGGAAACACAGATGAAAGGAAGATGTTTCAGAACACCTATGGTATACCTGCATACCTGGAATCTGAAGATCCGGCTTTCCCTTTTGCTAAAATAAAACTGCATTTGCTGATTTGTGTTCCTAACTATAAAAGTTATATGCTCAGAGAAAAATTATATTGAAAAGCATAAAGAACAAAATAATAACAACCCATAATCCTACCAGAGATAAAACATGATATTTAATGGCTGCATAACACCCCATCATAGAAATGGTTTATACTTAATAGAGATGGACTATTCCCTCCCCCCAGTTGAATTTATAGGTTATTCCTGAATTTTTGTTGTGACACAGCAATGAACATTCTGGCACATTTCTGAACCTAAGAGTCAATTCACAGAACATTAATCTTACTGTGGTAAGACAAGCAGAGGTCAGATAGTACTAAAAAGAAAAAGAATAAAGGAAGAATTATCACCTAAAGTAAGCTTGCTTTCGATGGCTTATAAAAGTTGCAGTCATGCTGTAATCTTTAATTAGGCTATTTCTAAGTCTTTTCCATGTAATCTATCCATAATCCCCCAGAAATTACATATGATCACCTTTCTATTTTGAATGGGGAAACTGGCAAAAGCACTTGCAGGGTTTTTGTGATTCTCATCCTACTGGCCTTGGAAAGGAAAGCAGAGAAGAACGGAATGAGGGAGTGAGCAGAATAATTCTCCCCAGCCTTTAGAGTATTATTTGGAAAGGGGTGAGACCAGAAGACTGGAAGGTGACTCTGATTCTCTGGAAGTCAGTAGAAATGAATGATGAAACTTAAGTGGTTTCATTAGATTGTGCAATTCACCAAGATACCTCCTCATGGCTATTCAGGGAACCACATGAAATGCAGGAAAAACTCCTGCTGTATCCTGCCAGGGTCACACCATACATGGAGCAATAAGGAAGCAAAGAAACAGGAAAACACTGGGGCATACCCATGATCTGTTCTCCAATGAAAGAGGGCTTAAGAAGACCAACTGTAAAACACCCACGATGCAAATTATAGGTGCCTTGGCATTTTAAAAGGGAGTGGGGAAATCTCCCACAACCCAGAAATTCTTAAGCCAAAATGCCACAGAAATATTTTATCATTTGACTAATGTGTATTCATGCCAGGTGGCACAGAGCAGCATTCCAAATGAAAAGTCTGACCTTTTAGGAAAGATAAAACTGCATCTCCCCCAGTGAATGTGCACAAACAATTTGTTGCAGGAATGTTTCTTACATCAGATGTTGAGCCTACAGGCTCTCTCTGAATTTGTGCTCTAACTCTTCAAGAGATGATACCCAAACTCGGCACTCACCAGCTTGTAGACCGCTCTGCAAAGCCATGATTTTCTGCTGCTGCTGATCAATTAGGTTTGTTAGTGCTTTCACATGTTTCAAGGTAAGTTCAAGAACCACTGCTTTTTCCAAGTGACCTAAAGTCTGGAATCAAAAGAGCTTTAGTCAGAGTTGAAGCTGGACAAGTCCCACGTCGGAACACTTATGAGCAATGAGAAATCTCTCCACAGGGGAAAAAAAAAACTGAATAGCTTTTTCTGGTTGCTAAATTTAATTTTAAATTTGCATATGTTTTCAAAAAGATACATATATATTATTAAAGAATAAAAAACGGGTGTCATCTATCTTTGGAGGCATTTTAGAAGCTGCAACTACCTCAGGAAAAGCTTCGACACAAACTCAGGGGAATCCAGAGGTAACATTACTCTGCGGTAGTGTCAACCCAGTAAGGGACTTCCATTGTGTCTATCAGCCAAGAGGCTTTCCCTGGCTGCTTTCTTGACATCCTTTCAGAACTTCAGCTCATTCAGGCTGTTTTCGTCTTCCCCCAATACTATTTTTTTTCTTTCCCCAAACCCAGTAGCTGTTGGTTTACTGTCAAGAAAAGAAAGGATGTTAAGAAAACACATACCAAGGCAAGTCCCCTTATTCTAACAAAAAAGGGAGAAAAGGGGAGAAAGAGGTAAACAAAATCTGCATGTTACTTGGTATGCTCCTTTAAGCCAGAAAAACTAGAGAACTTGGAAAACCACCAGAAAGGAAAATCTTAAACTCTCTAAAAGAAAGGCCAAATGGCATGGGAGCCAACTTGGAGAGGTCCAAGAGGTTGTCACCTCATTTGCATGAGGCTGCCCGAAAACCCCAGAATTGGAGAAGGGCACCCCAACACTAAGCCACCCGCCAGCTCTGATCTGCCCATCTGGTCTGCAATTCCCCGCGGGGCCTGCAGGCGGCGAGTGACCCCCGCTCGCCCTCTGGACTGAAGAGCTGGGTTGGAAAGGGGCCAGCTTCTCACTTACTGTAAGTTTGAGATGTTCGGGTAGGAGATCCTTCAGCTGGGCGATACACTCGTTAATCCGGTCACGTCTCTTTTTCTCGATGAGCCGGTGCGGCAATTTGTAGGTCTCCTGCAAGACGCACCGAGAGACGGTGGGCGCCTGGGGGAAGGTGACGCGAAGCCCCCCTGTTCTTCCAGCCCCACCACACAAGAGTGGAGAAAGGGTGCAGAGTCGCACCCAGAACCACTGTCTGGCCCTTCTTTTCCAAGTCACTCAGTAGAGGCACTGAGCCCACATCTTACATTCCACCCGCCAGCCTTAAAGCGAGAAAACTTTTCTTGGAAACTCAGCGCGCGCGAGGTCCTCAGGGGTGCGCTTACCTTGCTGTCCTCGCTCCGCTTTATTCCCCGCCTCGACTTGTACACCTGGTACATGTGGGCAAAATCCATCCTGCAGGGAGAAGGGCCAGGAAGGGTCGTGACTTTGCATGAACACCGGCTGCAGGCGCCCTAACGGCAAGAACCCCCGATGCGTCCAGAGCAGCTCCAAGTTGAGAGCGACGCAGAACACGGGGCTGGAGTTGAGGCTTGAAGGGGCCAGGGAGTACCAACTTACCCTGGTAGGTCTCCGTGCTCCAGTCCCGGCGCTTTGGGCAGGCAGGCGGGAGGTGGTTGCGCGCTGGGGATCCGCTCCATGGCGCGGCGAGCCGGGGCCACTGCGCGCTCCAGTCTGCGCTAGCGGAGCGTCGGAATGAAGACCTGCTCTGGAGTGGGCTTCCGGGGTCTCTGCGCAGAGGTTCCTCCGAGTCTGCGCTCCCTGAAATCCCCCGGGCTGCTGCGAGCTGCGGCTTTGAGATGCAGCTTCAGTTCGGGGCGTGCATGGCCCGGTATCCCCGCGGCCTCTGGCTCCGGCTCTGCGCACCGACTGGCGGTGTGTGCTCCTTGCGCTGTCTGAGCGGTGCGAGCCAAGTGAATGAGAAGTGGGGCGGGCGGGAGGCGGGAGGGAGCGGGGGGGGGCGGTTAGGGCGGAGCGGGGGGGTGGGGGGGGGACAAGCCGAGGAGTAATGTAGAGCCTGCGGGCTGGGTTAAATGGGAGCGAGTGGGTGGGTTGGAGCTACGTGTTCTACCCTGTGACTCCAGGCACGTCTGGCCGCTGCCGGGGAGGGAAAGAGCGACCTGCCCGCCCTCCCCCGGCTTCATCACATGAGTCTCACGTGTTGGACAACGCTCTGGCGGCTGCTAGGGAGCCCCCACCCCCCAGCCCTGGCCCCCAGGTGTCTGCGGCTGTGGCCGCCTTTCCCCGAAGAGGGGGTGGCAGCTCGGCCTGCGTCCTGCCCAGCTGGGTGGGGGGCGCGGAAGCTGGAAGGGAACGGGGAGCGAGGTGGGGGGGGGGGAGTTGGTAACGTGGGCGAACCTGCCCCAGGGAAATGAAGTAAGTTCCCGTCTCCTGGGAGGGAACGGGGGAGGACGGATCCGCCCGCGTCTGACTCAAGCCGGGAGAGGAATATCCCCTTGCTTGCTCCAGCCCAACCCTCTTCCTCCTCCCCCGCCCGGCCCGCTCAGAGGAACCGGCGAGCAGCGGAGGGAGTCGCCCGGCCCCCCAGCCTTCCCCAGTGGCTGGGGTTTCTTTCCGTCCCGGCTTCCCTGCCCCCACCTCTCAACCTAGCGTCCAGGAATTGCCCGCCTTGGGGAGGGACCGAGGGGCGGGGCGGATGTCACCCCATGGGAAGCGGGCTGGCGGCCAAGCGCAGGGGCAGCCGAGGCCGCCGCTGAGCACGCCGCGCGCACCTGACCTCGGAGGGTGTGAGCAGAGGGCCCCTTGCTCCCCCGCAGCTCCGCTCCGGGGCACAGCCTGCGGGCAGGCACCCACTTGCGCACTACCCCCGGGTGCCCCGGTATCGCCCCCTTCCCCCCGGTCAGTCAAGCACAGAAAGATACCAGGCACAGTGCCCGGCGTTCCCTCCCTCCCCTGCCCCCTCCGGAGCAGAGGCGCCCGGGTCGCCTCCCCTCCGGCTGCAGCGTTACACAACCGCGGTGGCGGCGCCTGCCCTGCAGCAGCGCAGGGCGTGACGCTTCACGTGGCCAGGGCTCACGGAGCGGCACCGCGGACTGCGAGCCCCTCTGCGTTGACCCCGGAACCAAGACCCCGAGGACGCAAGGTGCCAGCGGGGTCGGCCACCTCCTTTCCTGCCAGGAACTTTGGCGGCGCAGTTTGCTATCTGCACTCAGGGCAGGAGAGAAGAGATAGACGTGGGGCGGGGGGACAGCCAGTTACGGTGAAATCTTAAAATGTGTTCAGTCAACATGTATTTGTTGAGTCCTGTGCTGGGCGTTATGCCTGTTGCTGGAGACACACTGCTGGATCTAACACTGATCCTGTCCTTGAACTTACAGGAACTCAAGGGAAGGCAGCCCTTGGGAAAATTATATCGAGGCCACTGGCTGACAGAGAAAAAAAATGAGAACTTGTGTTTTTTTGTTTGTTTTTTGTTTTTGTTTTTAATACTAACCAAGATGCCTGGGTAGAGAAGCTAACCCGCTGCCCCGAGCCTGAGGCAGAGGCCTTCCTCCAGCGGCCCCAGATCTCTGCAATCTCACTTGGGCCGCCGGAGGCCCCCACCTACCTCCCCCGGAAAAGTCCGGTCTCTGTGACCTTCTAACTCAGCCTGGAGCAGGGAAAACAGCTGAAACTCCAATCGGGCGGTGTGACTAGCGCTGAGACAGTCAGAGGAGGGAGCCAGTGGAAATTCATGACTAAAATAAGGCCTCGCTGGGGATTTCACTGACCTCTGCGCTCCCCTGCCCTGCAAGTTCGGGGAGTTGAGAGATGACTGTAAGCCTTTCCCGCTGCGCTTCGGGTCAGTCACCCCGCTGCTGAGTGACCGGGCTGGGGAAAGCATTGAAAAAAAATGGGGTCACTGCTTGGACTAGGTGAAGATTAGCCTCGGGGGTCATCCTTATTTGTCAGTGTCCTTGACGACCTGGAGAAGTGGGATTCACACATTGACCAAACTGGGAGTGTATTTCCTTCAGGTCGCTTTGGAGAGCTCCCACTTCCTGTTTATATTTCACAAGCGTCAAACTCATTAGCAAGTGTGAGAAATGCCTCTTTTTTCTAACTGCTAGCTGGCCCTGACCTCACTTCGGGGCTCAGAGTCCCTCCCTCCCGGGAATGTACTTTTGCTGGCTTTTGTTATCAGCCATCTCTCTGGAGGGAATGACTGCACCGCGCTTCCTCCCCGGGTGGGCGGCAGTACCAAAGGCGAAGGAGGGGACTGGAGTCTGCCCTGGATATGTGGTTTTCATCTGGGGTGACCTGCTTCATTGTGCGACTTTAATAAGAGTAAAGAGTTGTCATGACTGCGGGGAAACCACAGTGCCACCAGGAAATATGGACTGGGAGAGGAAAGAATGCATGCCCTTCTAGCTGCCACCCCACCCCCACCCCATGGCCGGAGTGAACCCTAACATTTCAGCCTCAGAGCTCAAGAGTTTATCAGTACATTTTGCTCTTACCTGCTCTACAATTATAAGTAAAATGTCTGCATTTCCTACTTTTAAATTTGTTCAAAATGTACTCTCAAGCTGTACGAACTATCCCCGTCCTACCCAAATTCCACTACAATTGGATTTTTTTTTTTTTTTTTTTTTTTGCAGTTTTTGGCCCAGGCTGGGTTTGAACCCACCACCTCTGGCATATGGGGCCAGCGCCCTACTCCTTTAAGCCACAGGCGCCGCCCTATAATTGGATTTTTTAAATCTTATGTTCTCTTCTCAATACTTTATGGGTATTTTTTTAAAAATTAGTTGAAACAGAATAATTCACAGCATGTTATCTTTCCATCCTGGAGAATCTTACTATTTTAGTCTGTCATCTTTTGTAGATACTAAAACCTTTTATATGTCCATTTGTCAATAACACCTTGTAAGACAGGTACTAGTATTAGCTCAATTCATTTAACACATATTTATTGAAAATCTCTATGCACCAGGCACTGAACTAGGCCCTAGGGATATATAACTTATCCTCTTTGGCGATTTCAGGCTCAGGGAAGTTAAATAATCTATCCCAAATTATACAGTGAGGTATTAGGGACAAAACCTTGGCTTTGTTGGACTCTAAAGCTTGTGTTCTTAAATACCATACTTATAATTACCTACCTAGTAGGACTGCATGAATTGTGCACTGCTCAACTCCAGGGGGAGCCATTCACTTTGTGGTCTGTGCAAGAGCACCCTCTGGAGTTGTTCAGGGTAGTGCTGAGCAATTATACTGGGTAATATTGTCAATTTGTAGCTGTCTCCTCTGTTTTGTCGCTTCTAAGGGTAGAGAAAATAATTTTGAACAGGGCAGGATAGGATATTTCTTTTCTTTCCTAATGTGGCATAGGATCTTGGTGGCCTGACGCTGGGTGCTTTATGCTGTTACTCTCTACAGTGACTCCCAGGCCCTTCCTGTGTAAGAAGTTAGAGCCCAAAGGCCCCTTGCATGCACCCACAACTTACTTGCTTAGGTATCACTTTTTGCCTGTTTATGGAGCCTCAAAAATTTTTGTCACAGTTCACGAGAAATACATTTTACATCACAACTCAATGCACACATGTTTGTATGTACACCATCTTACATATAAGCATAGGACAGCCAAGGGTTGGGTAGGGCTATAGCAATAAGTGGTCACTACCTTCTCTCCTGTACTCTTGAGTAGCAATTGCTTGCTTAAAAAAAATAAAACCACTTAGGAAGAAGCCAGTCCAATGTATTCTAGACAAAAGTTCTATAAAACAACATTTCCCCCTTATTACACATATATGCATTCTAATATTGTTTGGTCCACTCTAGTTTATATTATTATTATTACTATTTTTTTGGCTGGGACCGAGTTTGAACTGGCCACCTCTGGTATATGGGGCCAGTGCCCTACTCCTTTGAGCCACAGGCGCTACCCATCTATATTATTAAAACAAAAAATATTCAGGTCTTGATTTACTAAATCGATTTCACAACTCACCAGTAGATCCTGACCTACAATTGGCAACTTGCTCTACACAGTGTTGTACAACACAGAGACAGTGCTGTAATTTTGGCTCATTCCCACCAGAAAGCTATGGCATCTGCACATATGAAGATCTTTGAAATCACTAAGAGAAATGTTAAATAAGACTGCTGATCCTGGTTGGATTCAATGGTATAGATGTTTCCACTCAGGAAAACATCTATCAATTCCTCCCCTTTGTTTCCTATATATAATCACCTTTCTCATTCTCTGCTTTTTCAAAAAAAATGACTGCATTTAATTGTTTTATTGAGATATAATTAGATAATAGAATACCTATTTTAGATGTTTGGTTCTTGATTTTTGGTAAATGTGTGTATATCTCTGTAGCCACAACTCAGAACAAGATATAGGACATTTTTATCACCACAGAAAATTCCTATCTTTTTCCAATCAAGCCCCACTCCCACAATCACTTTCCAATTTCCATCACTATATAGGGTGTCCCAAAAGTTGCCCTACACAGACATATATTTTGTAATGAATTCTGTATTTTGTAAAGAAATGCACACTTAGCTACAATTTCCCATTTTCTTTATGCATGGTGACTTTAGGGACACTGTAGATTAATTTTGCCTATTTTTGGATTCATACAAATGAATGTGCTCTTTTGAGTAAAGTTTCTGTCGCTTAACATGCTTTTGAGATTCTGCCATGTTGTTGCAGGTATCAGGAGATCGTTCATTCCGTCATTGCTGAGTGTATTTTGTTGTATAGATATAACACGATTTGTTTGTGTAGTTCCCTGTTGATAGACATTCACTTTGTTTGGGTCATAGGTTAAATATATGTTCACTTTGTTATAAATTTCCAAACAGATCTCCAAAAAGGTATTACCATTTAATAACACCACCAACAATGCATGAAAATTCCATTGCTCCACATCCTTACCAACAGGGAGGGTAGATAGATTTTTTTTAAATATTAGCCATTCTAGTGG